ACCCACACCCACACTCACTCATATCGATACTCGCCCACACCTACACTCACATCCACATCCCACACACTCACACGGACACCGCATCCTTGTTATTATTTTAATTTGGAATTTATTTTGAATTAATTGAATGTCTTCAATGGATTTATGAGTGGTATCCTGTTCGTACACAATTATTTATTGAATGAACAATCAAAACTGATATTGCTTATTTTATTGGAAATAAATTAATGAAAATAATTACTGACAGTTTCATCAAATGAGGTTTCAATTATCAAGAAAATGAAAGAGTGATGTTTTATATAGGTTGTCATGAATGTCATGCTTTATTAGATGAAAATCCTTCATCAGATCAATATTGTATTCGTCTTGGTTTTATTAATGTTCCAAATATCGATCAAGTCTTGTAAAAAACAACTTTAATATTTTCTTTTTTTTTCTTTCTCAAACATAAATCTTATAATGCAGAAATATGTAAAAAAAAATTCTATTTGATAATTCAGATATTAAAAAAAATATTTCGATTTTTAACACAACAAACACTATTGTAATAACTCCGGATCAAGCGTTAAATTTGTAGATTGTGCATCCACAATGAAGAGGGTGCAAGTTCAATAAAAACTCATGTCTACTATTGATGCAATTAGTCTTTGAATAATATTCAATACAACGGGTGAGATCTATAATACATGGCAGAACTTTGCATTTCATAGTTTGGGTGTGGGTGTGGATGTGTTTAAAGGGAGGAATAACTGCACACCCACACCCACCCACACCCACACCCACACCCCACACCCACACCCGCCACACCCACATCCACACCCTAACGAAACTCTTTACACTGCTCCAGGCATATATAAAGGATGCTATTTATTAGAATCTTTATTACGATCATCACTCGAATGTTTCTATAACCAATCATGCTTTGATGAGTTGATTCCATTTTTGGGCCCGAAACCAGCTTTTAATGTCACAGTGTTGAATGGAAGTGTATGGAGTCGATTCAAAACAACAAGTACACTAGACGATTTACTTAAGAAACTGATGGTGGAGCAATGGAGGCAGTCAACTCTTTTTAGTAACTATTTTAACGAGTGTCATCCAGTCGTGTGCATCTACACGTATCCAACAAGAAATAATTTAGTCTATATAGTAACAACATTAGTTGGTCTGATCGGTGGATTAGTGACAGCTTTGAAACTTATCGTTCCGCGTGTTGTGATGCTTGTCAGACGCAAGAAGTTGTAATCAACTGAAAATACTGGTAAGCCAAGAGAGAAGAAAGATGAGCAATTGAAAAATCGAGTAAATGTTCACTCTTGATACTTAACTCGGTTTTACATTAGGCGCACTTCACTACCCAGATGTTTTTGTTTCTTTATGTGATTCTAAATCAGTCTTCAATGAAACTATGCATAACGATCAAAGTATTTCAGCATTTTTACGTACATGTCATTCTAATTCACGGCCTTGTTATATGCATCTTAGAGAAAACGTAATAGAAACATCACTCTAAGAAATTCCTTTTGATAACCAACTACTTATGCACCATTCTTGTGAAAATTTAGAAGTTCCTGTATCAGTCAGTATGTTTTCACTGAGCACATAGTTAAAATGTTTTTATCTTTGATTATACGCACGACGGTAGTACATCCGAAATAATGAAACATATCAAGAATTCACAGAAATCAGACATTTTTTGGTATTTTCTTACATTGCTACCATCTATCGATGAGATATAATCATTTTTCTTACATAGACCATGGAGTCAAAAGCACTCTCATGTCTATACGCATTAATATTTTTGAATCTCTTGGCGGCAAGAGCTGCATATGAATTCTGGTTCAAAATTCGAACACATTATTAAAATAAGTCGTAAGAGCATCCTTCACAAAACACTGTCATCGATTTATATGAAAACAAACATTTTATGTAGCGTTCAAAATGTTTTGTTGAAGTAGTATAAATAGAATATATGTTTGCTTCGTAAGCTGTATAAAGTAGTTCGAGAAGATCATACTAAAACTACTTCCACTTATTCTTTATAGTTCTAAAAGTCACGAGATCGATAATTTTAACACACAAAATAGCTTTATTGAATGTGTAAGAAAACATACCCAAATGATCTAGAAAATAGTTTTCTCATGTGCTTGACTTATTAGTCCTTAACTTATATTTGCTTTACAGAATTTCTTTTAAAAAATATAAGTAAAATTTTGCGGATCTATCATATTTCAAAATGTACAAGCTGGTGACCTGCAAAGGATTCTAAATGATCTATATTCACTACTAGAAATTTCCCTTTTCTCAGACTTCAAACAACTGAAAGAGAAGTTCCTTAGAAAAGATATGCCGTATGTGCATATATTAATAAAATATCTAGAAAGAGAACAGATTCATATTGCATGTACACAAATTGTGATGCGAACTTTTGCGTAGTTGATTGCTTCAAAGAATTTTTTATACCTTAATAATTTTTACTCTTTTTTTTCTTCACGGTTTTTTTTATTTCAAAAGGCACTGGTTGCGTCTTATACATGAAATCTTAGTACAACAATTATGATCATCAATAACTTTCTAGACAGAACGAATTTCAACGATATGATCTCATATTTAAATAGGAAAAATAAGTCTGCCATCAAAGGTTTAAGGAGTTTAGTATGTTTTTGTGATTGATGAGTAATCTCAATGATCGAATCAAATATATATGTGGTTGAATTTACTTGATGAGTTTCCTATTGCAATATTTTTAGTTCACCATGTCCAATTTTACTGATTTATTAACACATGAGCTTTTCTTTTTGGAGGTTGAATTTGGAAACAAAAGATTATTTTCAAACATCATCATCTGCCCAGGATACGTGTATTGTAATTTCACTTGTATTCATGGAGAACTCTTGATACTACTATGTTGCTTAGTTTGCTATAGAAGAAGCAGAAATGAAGTCATAGAATTCGAGAGAACATTGGACGCTTTTCTCGGGAAAAAAGTCAGCCAAAATGGACATAATCCAAAGACAATATTCAATAGAATGCACCGATTGACAGAACAGTTACCTATAATAGTGTCAGAAAAACTGTAAATTGTCTCCACGGACTTATTAAATAGATAGTTTACATACAAGTGAGAGTAGATATATTATGCATATGCATGCTCGATGGAATGAGTTGTTTCGAAATCCTAAAAACCAAAGATATCCAAAAAATTTCCAATCTTTTTTCCTTTTGCTATCATCTGAAACTTTCTAAGCATTTCTACTTTATTACATAAACCAATATTAGAAAAAAAGGAAAATCAAAACTAGGTGACAATCAAATGAGAACTATTAAAAGCCAATTATCACTATTACAGGTATTTCGTCGTTTTTTTTAATCGTTTTATAACTAATTTTCATTAAAAATGATTCATTTAGTTCAGGTGTCGTTGATTATTACGTTTATAGTCGGCTACACATTAACAAATACATTCAGTCTGCAGTCAGTCAAAAGAATATAAACTAGACTCGTTAACATCTTACACATTGTGTAGTTCCATAAATTTTTCGAAAACACTCCACTAGATATGGTTTGAGCTTACTTCTGTTTCTTTTTTTACGGATGACCTATGTATGAATTTTTTCTCGTTGCAATAACCACCAAATGGGAGAAGTCTTATCCAAATAAGTTATGAAAACAGCTTTCATCTGAAAATATAAGCTCATACATCATCATTATAGTTAGTATAGAGTAGATACGGCCCATTGAGATATTGCTTCAACTCCTGAAGGACAAGAAGAGCGAACGAGAGCTATTGTCGGTATATTGATTAGTTCGATTCAATCTTATCCGACAGATTCAAATCAATAATCAGTATCGATAACAAAGATCTTCTACTGATTGCAAGTCTGCACCGTCACTTTTAAGTGCATTTGCTCAGTACCACATTATCGCTTATTCATCGCAGTTTATGCTTTTTTTGAATGCTGTGATTTGGAAAAAGTGATGCATTTCTTGCTCTTAACTATTGAAATTGAATGAATTATTCGTCCAGATGCATTTATTATAGAAAAATTGAAACAATGCATCAAACTTTGATACGAAAACTTTCACTTCTGATATGCTTCACACAGTGTTATAACTAGAAATGTATTTTTGATTTTGTTTTCGAATTAGGAAGAATTCTTTCTTCAGGGACATAGTTAATGACTCACTAGTTACCATAATTACTACTTTACTTATGAACAAAATAAAGTAGCTTTTGCAATATTTTACTCCACAGATACCTTTCTAATCAAAAAAGTAAATAGTTTACCGGCTTTTAGAAAAGCCTTGAAAAAACGACAAGTGAAACCTGCAACTGCAATCATCTGATTTTATGCGAGCTAAGCGATATACTACATAAAGTGTGTTATGATGTATGTATTTAAAGACATATTTTGATACGTGTTTCCTCACAAACATAATTATCAAAATTAATAAAAAGTAGTTAAGTTGGAAGCAAAATTCTTTTATGAAAATTCTTCGAAAACCTTTGTTCCAAAATCAACACACTGCAGCTTGGTTCTTAAAAACAAACTTATATCCATTAGCCGATCAGTAATCTTCTATTCAACTGAGGCAGTTGTTATTTATTACTGAGCACAGAATTGACTATTTGATCATCAAGCAGACAATAATTGCCCTGAAAAATATGCTAGAATTAACAAGATGTTCCTTCGTCAAATTTCAGGTGGCTCGATTTTTTTTATTTTCTCATTCTTTTCCAGTCAACGTCAATCGATCTCTGCTCACATACATCAGTTATATCGCGCAATATCCTTTAAAAGTTAATTTATTTTCTTCAACTCCACCTTCAAACGATCCGCATGAACTCAAAACACAGATCATTTCACCAAGGATATTTTTTGTTACTTTGATCATTTCGATTGGCATTCTTCTTCTCTATACATCCACAGTCGCTGTTACAAAGACAATCACTCTTAACAAACCAACTGTCGATTCTTATTTATATTTGTTTGCCAAATATCTACTAACACTAACATGTCCTTGTACAAACAGAGCCATAGACTATAGTCGATTTCTTCATGTCAATTATACACTTCATCAAGTATGTTCAAGTAGTTTTATCACAGACCAATGGATGAACTATTTATATCATTCACGTGACGACATGACTCTGTGGCTTGACGATTTCCGAGTATTTAGTTTATCCCTATTTCAAGGCTTGAGATTATTGTGTGAGTTAGTGAATATAACCATCAATAATAGTTTGAATCATCTGTATGCTACTCAATATATCAGCATTTATATTACACCATTGACAGTATTCGATCATCAAATTGAAACACTCGTTAATCAATACCAATCTTCTACCGTTAATGGCTTCCGGTTGTCATTGAACATCATTCGAAATACAAATAGTTTACTTTCG